CGACTTACAGTGCATTCTATTAATTTTTTATCAGTATGTGTGTTCCCTGGGAATTGGACCCACGACCTTTGCACTACCAACGCAATGCTCTACCACTGAGCCACAGGAACATATATATCATGTTTGTAAAATGGCACAGTTTTTTAAATATCTGAAAGTGCACTCTTAACATCAGTCAGTCAAGCATTATAATATGATAATCAATATTATTTAATGATAGAAATTTAGTAATTAGAATTAAAACTTGATAGCATGTATGAATGCATATTAGTCATTTTAACTGAACTTTGGACTGGCGGTGCTGCTTTTTTGGTCATTCGGTGTTTCTGTAAAATTAAATTTGGGAAAAAATAACAAAAATACTCATAAGATAATAATGATACGAATTCTACTAATAAGAACAATATAAAACGCAAGGATTAATGAGCTGCTGGATTCATGAATATGAATCAGGTTGTGTGCATTTGCTCGAACTGATTTGCTGAAATCAAAACAGGGACGATAATAGGTGAGCGCCAGCCAATGAGATTTCCGTTTGCACATTAGTTCCGCCCACTATCGGAAAAGCAGCAGTTCTTAAAAGCTGAGGAATTCCACAGGAATGCTGTTATTTTGACAGGAAAATACAACAAAGAATATCGTTTACATGTAGCGCGTGAATTCTCTCTCTCTCTCTCTCTCTCTCTCTCTCTCTCTCTCTCTCTCTGCGCGTGTGAGACAAAGCGACGGCGATTAGTGGGCCTTCACACTAGAGTTTACGGTACGTTAAATACAGGTGCGTTGCACATCCATTCAGATGAACTGAAAAATAGCACAGATCGATTGGCGGAGAGTGAAACTCTGAAGCGCCCAGTCAGAGAGTGTTCGGCGAGTGAAAATATATCCGAGCTAAACTTATACTTGGCCTCCAACTCACACACTGGCGAGTAAAATCTGAGAATTTTTTAGCAATTGGCAAATATTCACACTAGAGTTTACGGTACGTTGTGCGTTGCACATCCATTCAGATGAACTGAAAAATAGCACAGATCGATTGGCGGAGAGTGAAACTCTGAAGCGCCCAGTCAGAGAGTGTTCGGCGAGTGAAAATATATCCGAGCTAAACTTATACTTGGCCTCCAACTCACACACTGGCGAGTAAAATCAGAGAATTTATTAGCCATTGCCTAATATTGGACATCATTTAGTCACCCAGAGTGAAGATTCACTCGCATATGCGAGTGATTTACTCGCAATGTAGAGGGTTGCAAAAAGATTTAAATAAGGGTTCTTTGTGCATGAGAGGATACAAGTGGCACGCTCTGGAATTCAGGACCACGGAGAGCGCCACAAAGGAAAGATTTTGTTTTCTTCTTTAGGATAGTTAACCTTTTTCAAACCAAGGAGCCTCAAGGGAGGGCTAACGGTAGTTTGTGGAAAAGTTTAGAGAAAAAACTAAAATAATTAAAATGTACTGAAATAGACGTTTTAACATTGAACATTCTATTTTATACAGACTGGTGATTAATTACAATTATTTTATTCTAATTGTTATTTTTCAACTATGATTCAGGTTGTATACATATATAGACCTGATCATATGAAAATATATGCCTTTTATATTATAGGAAGGTGAACTGTCACAAAAAGGAGATAATTATATTAGGGGCCGTGTCATCAAAGTTTGAAAACCCCTGTCAAGAATAGCATGCCTAATGTGGATTTAGGTAACGTGCCTCTTAATAAAACCCATATAAAAGCATTATCTTCTTTCACTGTGTCCAAATGCGTGTAGTTCCCCACTAAATAAATTGCAAAAATAAGAACTTCAATGTACTTGTCACAGTACACGGGCAGAGACACGAGGTAAGTGATCTAAGCAGGTGGGTTTATTGACAATGACTGAAGAGCAAGGTGAGCAGAAGGCAGGTCAGTCAATGGCAGTATGACAGTTCTTGCATGCTTAGCTGAAAGTAAGTCTTGTTGTCTTTGTTGCAGGTATCCTGGTGGAGATCGGGAACAAAGGCAATCGGGATCGTAGGAACACGGGAAACTCTGGAGGTAAATCACACACCTTGAGTATACAGGTAAGTAAGGTCTGGAAACAGTTAAAGGTAGTGAACGGTAGGGCGGACGATGAGTGACTGTGAGAAGATTCGGAGACTTGGGAGGCCATGGCGGCTCTTCCTCCGAGGCCACGGCCCCAGCCCCCGCCCCGGCCTCTACGACCGGAGACCTACTACCCCCCCTAAAAAAATTCTCTCTCTCTCTCTCTCTCTCTCTCTCTCTCTCTCTCTCTCTCTCTCTGCGCGTGTGAGACAAAGCGACGGCGAGTCGTGCGCCTTCACACTAGAGTTTACGGTACGTTGTGCGTTGCACATCCATTCAGATGAACTGAAAAATAGCACAGATCGATTGGCGGAGAGTGAAACTCTGAAGCGCCCAGTCAGAGAGTGTTCGGCGAGTGAAAATATATCCGAGCTAAACTTATACTTGGCCTCCAACTCACACACTGGCGAGTAAAATCAGAGAATTTATTAGCCATTGCCTAATATTGGACATCATTTAGTCACCCAGAGTGAAGATTCACTCGCATATGCGAGTGATTTACTCGCAATGTAGAGGGTTGCAAAAAGATTTAAATAAGGGTTCTTTGTGCATGAGAGGATACAAGTGGCACGCTCTGGAATTCAGGACCACGGAGAGCGCCACAAAGGAAAGATTTTGTCTTCTTCTTTAGGATAGTTAACCTTTTTCAAACCAAGGAGCCTCAAGGGAGGGCTAAAGGTAGTTTGTGGAAAAGTTTAGAGAAAAAACTAAAATAATTAAAATGTACTGAAATAGACGTTTTAACATTGAACATTCTATTTTATACAGACTGGTGATTAATTACAATTATTTTATTCTAATTGTTATTTTTCAACTATGATTCAGGTTGTATACATATATAGACCTGATCATATGAAAATATATGCCTTTTATATTATAGGAAGGTGAACTGTCACAAAAAGGAGATAATTATATTAGGGGCCGTGTCATCAAAGTTTGAAAACCCCTGTCAAGAATAGCATGCCTAATGTGGATTTAGGTAACGTGCCTCTTAATAAAACCCATATAAAAGCATTATCTTCTTTCACTGTGTCCAAATGCGTGTAGTTCCCCACTAAATAAATTGCAAAAATAAGAACTTCAATGTACTTGTCACAGTACACGGGCAGAGACACGAGGTAAGTGATCTAAGCAGGTGGGTTTATTGACAATGACTGAAGAGCAAGGTGAGCAGAAGGCAGGTCAGTCAATGGCAGTATGACAGTTCTTGCATGCTTAGCTGAAAGTAAGTCTTGTTGTCTTTGTTGCAGGTATCCTGGTGGAGATCGGGAACAAAGGCAATCGGGATCGTAGGAACACGGGAAACTCTGGAGGTAAATCACACACCTTGAGTATACAGGTAAGTAAGGTCTGGAAACAGTTAAAGGTAGTGAACGGTAGGGCGGACGATGAGTGACTGTGAGAAGATTCGGAGACTTGGGAGGCCATGGCGGCTCTTCCTCCGAGGCCACGGCCCCAGCCCCCGCCCCGGCCTCTACGACCGGAGACCTACTACCCCCCCTAAAAAAAATCCTTGGGGGAACTTACAGGGCTGAACTCGGGGACTGGAGCCCTCCCTGGGCTTAATGGGGGATCAGGAGCCCTCCCTGGGCTTAACGGGGGATCAGGAGCCCGTCCTGGGCTAAACGAGGAATCAGGAGCCCTCTCTGGGCTTAACTGGGGATCAAGATCCCTTACTGGGCTAAACGAGGAATCAGGAGCCCTCCCTGGGCTAAATAGGGAATCAGAAGCCCTCCATGGGCTTAACTGGGGGTCAGGAGCCCTTCCGGGGCTAAACGAGGAATCAGGAGCCCTCACTGGGCTAAACGGGGGATCCAAAGCCCTTCCTGGGCTGAACTGGGGATCTGGGAAGCGTTTACGAGGTGCTGGCACTGGAGGGCGCTCTGGGGCTTGAGCTGACACTGGAGCGAGCTTTGGGCGGGAGTGAGCCACGACCGACGGGCTTGACTTTGGAGTGGCCGGCGGGCTTGACACAGGAACGGGCGATGGGCTTGCCACAGGAATGGCTGGCGGGCTTGAGAGAGCCACAGCTGGCGGGCTTGACTTCGGAGCGGCCGGCGGGCTTGAGTCATGAATGGTCGGCTGACATGACTTTGAAGCAGCCGGCAATCTTGTCTTGGAGGTGGCCAGCCTTTTTGGGCTGAGGACGATTGTGGAGCTTCGGATGTGCTCGGGGGTTCTGTGGGTTGCGCAGGTGGTCGAAACTGTTGACGCGGTATGTGGGGGTTCCTGGCGGGAGGTGAGCTGGGGAGACTCTGCGTGTTCCAGAGGGGGCTGGACGACGAGACTTAGACCGTGCCTTTATTTCTTCGACTTCAAAGTCGGAACAATTTAAATAAAGGATGAGGTTAATCAGCTCGATTAGGGGGAAATCCCTCACAGGAAGTTCGCAGCGGATAGTCTCGTCATCGAGCCCCAGCTGAAAACACGCACCTAGAGCGGCGTCATGCCAGCTCACCTGGTTGGCAAGCTCGAAGAATTCCTCCACATATCGCTTCAACCTCCGACTGTCCTGCCGCAAATGCCACAGCCGCTCCTCAGCAGCAATCATGTTATGGTCCGATCTTCTGTCACAGTACACAGGCAGAGACATGAGGTAAGTGTTCTAAGCAGGTGGGTTTATTGACAATGACTGAAGAGCAAGGTGAGCAGAAGGCAGGTGAGTCAATGGCAGTATGACAGTTCTTGCATACTTAGCTGAAAGCAAGCCTCTTTGTCTTTGTTGCAGGTATCCGGGAACGAAGGAGATCGGGATCGTAGCAACACGGGAAACTCTGGAGGTAAATAACACACAGTGAGTATACAGGTAATTAAGGTCTGGAAACAGTTAAAGGTAATGAACGGTAGATCGGACGATGAGTGACTGTGAGGAGCATGTTCTTGAAGGTGTGCTGATTGCTGGCTGCAGGTGCGGGCGATCAGTAGCAAGGTGATTGTGATCAGGTGAGCGTTGTGACTGGTGACTGGTGACAGAGACTCCCTGACAGTACTAGGATGTCCAAAACTGCATAATTGATAAAATATCAATACCTGTATGACATGCTGTAGTACAGGGTCCTCCAACCCTGCTCCTGGAGAGCTACAGTCCTGCAGATTTCAATTTAGAATTCAATTTAGATTTCAGTTAGTTTTACTGAACGTGAGTGATACGTTGTGGTATTTTGAATCCACGACAACATTTAGTTAAGATAACAGTGATCTTATGTTGTGGCCTTGAGCCTTATCTTGTGCATGGCTGCATTTTTTTTAAACAAAAAACATTAAAATTCAGTTAGGCTATGATTAATACAACTGTCTATGCGATTTATATTATTTATGGCTTGTGTCTAAGAAAATCATTCTCATTTATTGGTGGATTTTCCTTCTGTTTGCTGAGATCAGTTTGTTTAACCGAAGCTGGATCACATCCACAAGGATGTCAGGCAAGTCAAAACATTTTCATAGTGGCAAAGACCCTTGTGACAATTATTAATGACTGTTACATATTATTGTCTCCTGATATTTAAAGGGCAATCAATCATAAAACCTATTTGTCAGAATTGTATCGAACTCATCCTAAATGAACTGGTTTAAATCATCTATATGCCGTCACAATAATAAATGTGTAAAATATATTACAATAGAAAGCAATTTTTTGAATTGTACTAATATCTCAAAAAATGTCCTGTATTTTTGATCAAATAAATGCAACCTTGGTGAGCATAAGATCTTTTTCCCCAAAAACAATAAAACATGCAATTATAAACGTTTGACTTGTAATCCAAAGTTCATATATCTATAATACAAGTCTTTTTTATGGTTCAGATCATGATGGTCTACTTTGTTTGGCTAGTGTTGAGCAGGTGCTAACAGATCTTTTTGGTGATATTGAGAGTTCCTTCATGTCAGAGAGTGAATTGAAATCACCATGACATATTGGTACGCCAAGGGAGTACTCTCTGTGTGTGTGTGTGTGTGTTATGAGAAAACATGAGCTTCAGACCGAGTAAATATCTGAAGGACATGTTTGTTTGATCCTTTCCAGAGTAAATAGCGGCAAGGATGTGAACACGACTTTCTAATACACTGTCTCTGTCTTTCTTTTTCTCACGTATGCTGTCTGCGTGTCTCATTAAAACAGGTCTGACCTACTGAACTCCCACTGTGGAGCTTGAGTAGAGGGCGATTTGGCTGTGTGGGAGAAATGCCATGAGACATCCACTCCATGCTGGAGTTCAAGTCACATCAATATTGCAGAAACAGAAGTGAGGAAATGAAGTAGATAAAATCTGATGACACATGAAAGGCCCGTTTCATGTCTTTATTATATGTCTATCTTTTGTTTACATTGCTTTTTATCCACTTTTCACCAGTTGGATATAATTACACCCACAGACTACTCGTTTTCACTAACCATCTGACACATATTGCATACATGAACTGCTCATAGTCTGACAACATCAGTACTGATTTTTGAGCGTAAACTGAAGATTCAAGATTATATGTACAGATGAAGAACACAGTAGGATCTGCTAATGAAGAAGTTTGGTTTTGCCTTTGGCAGTATCTTTAGAAGAGTGTATGAATAAATAAGCATTGAATTACAATGATTGAGTCTATAAATATGCTACTGTCTGACCTTTCAATCCATATGCACTCTTGATAAAACTTGTGTATTGCGTCTAATCAAAAGTGAATATCCTACAATTCAAAGAAGAAAGCAGAGAGGAGATCAAAGGCACATCAGATCAAAGAGATGCATTTAAGATGTCACACAGTTGATGGCAGCACTTCTGACTTGAATGGAGGAACAAAAAGAATTACGCATTCTGTAAATAAGCCATGAGGACGTTATACATGTTAGATAAATATTAGAACTGGGTGGAACAATACTTGAGAATAAGTTAGCTAACGAAGTGCAATTATATCTCTGGTTATGAAACTGTGTGAGTATTATCAAAATGTATGAGTAATTTCATGCAGCAAAATTGTGGTGTTTACAATGATTGCTATCGTGTATTTGAACCACCATATTCAACCTCACGATCATTATCTACCACAGGTTAACAGCTGGTGTGGAGACAGAATTCATTTAACTTTGCATAACCTCTACCTGCAACGGGTCTTCAGTTTCCTATAAGGTAAAATAAGTGTGAACTTCTCAAGGCTCTGCAGAATGAACTGAAGGGCACCGGGCAAGACAAGCCTCCCAAGGGACTCCTGGGTAATTCAGAGTAAATGAAGAGAAATGAAGCATACCCTTTAAGCTGCAAACAATCTCTCCTCTCCTTTATTTTTTAGCATAATCTGCCTTCTCATCTCCACTGCCCTTCACTCAATGGCGGACATGGGAATCGTTTCCACTGATGGGGAAAAGCAAGAACTCTGCCACCCTCCACCTCTCCGGTTAATTTTCAAAAGGCTTGATGTGATAAGGCAAGTGATGATTTACACAATCTCTGATCTATCATCTTATTCATGTGTACTATTACTATTATTTGACTATTTCAAATAAATGCTGGTATTTTGAACTTTAAAAGAATCCTGAAAATATATAAATATTAGAGAAATATTAAGCAGCACAATGTTCAGCATTGATAAGAAATGTTTCTTAAGCACCGAATCAGCATACTAGAATGATTTCTGATGGATCATGTGACACTAAATACTGGAGTAATGATGCTGAAAACTCATCTTTGCAATCACAGGAGTAATTTAAATTTTAAAATATTAACATAGAAAACAGCTCTTTTAAATAAAAACTTCTGAACTCTAGCTTATACAACTTATATGCATTGTATTTCAGTATTTCCTCCACCTCTCCGGTTAATTTTCAAAAGGCTTGATGTGATAAGGCAAGTGATGATTTACACAATCTCTGATCTATCATCTTATTCATGTGTACTATTACTATTATTTGACTATTTCAAATAAATGCTGGTATTTTGAACTTTAAAAGAATCCTGAAAATATATAAATATTAGAGAAATATTAAGCAGCACAATGTTCAGCATTGATAAGAAATGTTTCTTAAGCACCGAATCAGCATACTAGAATGATTTCTGATGGATCATGTGACACTAAATACTGGAGTAATGATGCTGAAAACTCATCTTTGCAATCACAGGAGTAACTTAAATTTTAAAATATTAACATAGAAAACAGCTCTTTTAAATAAAAACTTCTGAACTCTAGCTTATACAACTTATATGCATTGTATTTCAGTATTTATTGTAATGTAGAAATAAACACTTTACTGTCAAGGTTGGAGTTTAATTAATTGAATGAATCAACCAATTTTAAGTGGAATTGTGATGTTTTAGTGTTAGCTAATCGTTTACTCCAACCAGACCTTTTAAAACACTGAGACACACAATAAGTGTAAAGAACTGCAATATTGCTACAGCATTTAAGTACATGCATAACACAGTTAGAAGTTAAGGAGAAAGTATAGTATATTGAATAAAGTGCAAAAATATATTTTTAGATATGGTGGGGTGATGAAAGTAGGGCAGAAAATATAATATCTATATATACTCATATAAACACACATTTATTACTGATAGTGTGTGATGGCAAGCGATAGATTGTTACACACTGTATCTTAAACAATGATCTTGATATATTGCTGGCTGCTTTAAAAGAAAAAGGTCAAGGTTTGTCTGATTAACCTAATACAGTTGAGTGCCTTCTAGTAGATGTTGAAACTATACTATATAGTTCTAAATAGGATTTTTGTGAATTGATAGCTTTTCAAAAGTTCCATTATATTATAGCAGATGTTTTACCACAGCCTGATTTTGAACATCTGTAACTTGCACTCTGCAAAATTGTGCTTTTTGTGGCAATGCTCAATGGTGCAAGTTAATGTGTTTTTGTAATATTCTGACAAGATCTTATAAATAATTTAAGATGAAGTTGTTTCCTTGGGTGAAACTGACATTATTGACATTTTTCTGCTGTCTTTGACCTCACAGCTCAGGATAGCGGCTAGTGAAAGATTTGGGACTTTGAATGCTCTTGTAGTGTCAGCGATGCCGTGATGTAAATGTTCCTCTGCTCCAGAGAGAGTCACATGACAGCTCATGATGAGGAAAAGATGGCACATTTAAGATCATGAACTTTCATTGAAGAATAGCTTTCCCTGGGTATTGTAGACTTCGTTTTATAGAAGCTTTTCAAAACTCAGCTTGATTATTTTCACCTTCAGTCAGCTTGAGGAAGTTTGTAATTGATTAAGAGCATATATCGTACTTGGAGGGATGCTGTTATGAAGTGGGGGGATGCTGTGATGAAGTCTAGCTTTAAATCGGGAACTAAGTACAGTCTTTATGATATTAATTAGTTATTAGTGGCTATCTACTTTATTCCACATTATATATTTATTCCCCCCTTGCAATGTGTAGGATGTTTCTGCATATATTTAAATTATGTAGTATACTAAATTCTCTCTCTCTCTCTCTGGGAGTTTCAGCTGTTACTTGATGTAAAGGTTATCTTGACGGAGCAGCAGACATTTTCAACGCCTCCATGCAAGTCTCAACGTGTCTCCTTCGCGCCTTCGTGCAGAGCATCATCTGGTCTACATATTATTAAACCCCCTTAGCGTTTGAAACTAAGCTTGAGCTAATGAAAGCCTTTGAAACAGGTGCATTCTAATGACATATTTCCTATGCTGTTCCCATGGAGATCTAAAAGCAAACATTTATAGTACAATGATGAGATCTGATTTCTGAAGTAGTTTGTTTGTATCTTATTCAAGCATCTGTAGAACTAGACTCAAGTAAATTAGTCAGTCTTGCACAAACCATTAAACCTCTGCAAAATGTCTCAGGCGTAACTAGACAATACAGGATGCTTGCTAGCTTAGAAATGCACTTATAATTGGAAAGGAAAGCACTGAAATATGACATGCAAGATCAATGGGCATTTTTTATTCCTCATCTCAACAGTTTTAAAGGGATAGCTCA